TGCTTCCCTGACCCAAAGCCCCTTCGCCTCCGAACTGTGCGTGTTTCCACCTGCATTTGTCACCCGCAGTGGCCCTCGGCTCTGGCTGACATTTAAGTCATCCTAGGAGATTTTAAAAATTGTCCAGGTGCAGTCCCAGGTCCATTGCATCAGAATCACTAAGGATGGACTAGAGCACCTTTCGTTTTTCTTAAGATTAGATTTATTTATTTTTGGAGAGAGGAGAGGGAAGGGAGAAGACAGAAAGAGAAGCATCAATGTGCCTTCCGTACATGCCCCAGTTGGGGACTGAACCCGTAATTCAGTCATGTGCCTGACCAGGGGTTGAACCAGTGACCTTTTCCATTTTGGGATGACACCCAGCCAACTGAGCCACACCAGGCAAGACATCATCTTTCATTTTTAAAACTGTCCCATGATTCCTGTTTGTGAGCCCTGAGCCTGGTGTTCTCTGAGGCCCATTTAGCTTCTGTGCATCTATGAACCCAATGCCAAAGGCAGGTCCCCTTTCGCGGATAGAGGCTTGGCTAGGAGCAGGCTAATCAGGAGATTCAGCATTGGTGGGACTGGGAAGGGGGCGGGGCAGGTGACACAGCAGGAGAGCACCAGACGCTGGGTACTTGACTCAGTCTGAACTCATCGGCAGAGAGCTCTGAGGGATAAACTGAAAAGAAAAAAGCAAGCGAAATGAGCTTTACAACGAATAAGGCTTTTCATCCATAAGAGTTTAAGATAAACAGCTTTCTTCACTGCAAGAGTTCTTAAAATAACAATATTCGTAATAATAATAATGGCCTGTACCTCAGAGAGGATTAAATGAGGTAAGGGATGTGTGAACCAATCAGCTGCCCCATGCGCATAATGGATACTTAATAGATGCTCCCTGTGAGTGTTACTAGTGAGGCTGGTGGCTCCGCAAGGGAAGGAGAGGGTGTGTGTCTCGGGGACTTCTGGTGCCCTTTTTCTACAGCGCCTCTTGTACAGCCGATGCTCTAGGAAACACAGCCGGGCAAAAATCGCAGAGGGCTGGCCACGTGTTCTTCGACTCGCTTATCAAGAGACTGATGAAGGACTTAGGCAAGGATGAAAGTCACAGCAATTGGTCACCACAGGGGCAGTGTTGCCGTGGAAGGGTCCTGTGCCTGCAATCCAGAAGAGCTGATTCAACTTCCTGACTTTCCTTCTCTTTTTAGCTGGGTGACCTTTGGTGAGTGAGCAGGCCTCTCTGAGTCCGCTGTCTTCTCCAGTATGATGATGGGCTGTGGGCCACAAACCTGAGAATTTTGAAGGTCCCTTCTGGTTCCCAGATTCTATGCTTATGTGCATTTCTGCCAAAATAGGGAAGGGAGGGGGGAAAAAAGGATCATATCTAAGCCATGGAGTCTTCTAACCATGATCCTGATTCTAGACTTGTTTGGGATGGTTCCAGAGAGACGCTAATGCTTGCTCACTCTCTTGGCCAGTGTGTTCCCCACTGACGCTGATGGAGAAAAATGGTGGAGTGGCCAGCCAGACTCCTGTCTGTCAAGGGGTGGGGGAAAAAGGAGCGAAGAAAGATCCTCACACTGACCCCTCTGTATCTAAAGGCCATCAAATTCACTGTGCCTAATGGGCAAAATTTTTTTCAATGTCTAATGACCATATTCCACATTTTCCAGACAAAACAACAGGACCCATGATGTCGGAAAGGATTTTTCATGCCCCCAGGACAAGGCACAGTCTCAGAGATAAGATGTGGAAGCTTACATCTCAATTTTTGGTAACATGCAGATGGTTTGTGGGTGACAAAAGACAGAACAGCTGAAAACGGGAGTGACCCAAGGAGTCCCAGCAATGTGATCGTGACCCTGGGGACCCTCTCTCTCTCTCTCTGCACACAGATGCGCTCTCCACAGCAAGGAAAAAGGAAAGCCTCCTCCTGGACATTTGCAGGGGAACAACAAAAACCACACTGGCTGCTTGGATTGGCATTCCCCATTCCCAGCTAGGTGCAGCTCTCCTGCCTGGCTCTCCTGCTTTCCTAGAGGCCTCACGGTGAGCCTTCCTTCCACTGAACTGACTGCAGGGTAACAATTTCCCCCATCTCACTGAGGAAGCCACTAAGAGACACACTGACCCACTTGGGACTGTGTATTCATCTCGGTGCTCCTAGGCTGTGAATGTCTCACCGAGAGAGTGACCTGCGAACAACATCTCCCCACGTTCCATGCCAAGCACCAGCCTGGCCCTTTGTCCTGCTCCTGTTCTTAATTTCCTGCTGTCTATTGTCTCTCTGATAACTGCTGGAAGAGGGAAGGCTATTATTTAATTGCTTTAAAGATATCAAACACGCCGGTACAGAGGTTATCTGCTCCCCAACCCCTCTATTTCTCTGGCTCAAGGTTTGGTTACTTAGTTACTAAGCAAGCTGAGGGAAAGGAGAGGCAGCGGCCGTGTGACAGCGCAGACTCCGTTCAGCAGGTGGAAGGGGAAGTCAAAACGAGAGCCACTGGGAGTCAAGTAGGGACCTAGAACCTGAGGGTGACAGCTGAGTGCATGTGACAAACAACTCTTTTGAGGTCTTTGGGTACATGAGGGGTGGAGGGAAAGGGGCCTACATTATCTGGGAAAAATCCACACTTGTTTTAATGACACATTTTCTGCTGTCAACGTTTTTCAGACCCCGTTCCTCCAGCCCTTCCGTAGAGACAGATGTGCCTGGGGGGAGGGGTGGGACCTTTTTCCAGGTTGGGCCCACCCACCCTGACTTATGGGGGGAAGGCAAAGGAAGGCATCACAAGGGGCTTCACAGGATATTTCACGGTATCAGATAATCCAAGGTAAAGAGCCTTGTTAGAGGAGGTCATTGAGAAGACGTGACCACCCGGTGACCTGAAAGCTGGACCTCAGCAATCAAAGGCTCCCACCCACCCTTGTCCTTAGCATGTCTGTCCCACCCACTGTTCCCATACTAGAAGCCACTTCAAGGACTCAGCCTTGAGAGAGCAATATATACTGAGGCCACCGGGACGGCCTACATAACTGAACCCCATCACGGGTTCTATATAAACTGACCGGCAGGTATGGAGGAGCTTGTATACGGCCTCCCAAGACAAGCCTCCCACGTAGGTCCCCTTACTTGTCAGAACCGCCACCTACCAAGTGGTCCGTTCTCTCTTCAGTCTCTCCTTCCCCTTCAAGCATGGCGGGCCGGGGGGAGGGGGAGTTTCCAATTTCACCCAGGAATCTCCTGAGGTCGCAAACCAACAGGCATACAGAGGTGCCACCTAATTACCCAGGAAAGGAGATGGTTTACTCAGCTGGTCCTCCGGGAACACACTGTTTTCACGGGTGGCACCCATACTAAAACTAAAATGAAAAGTGAAAAACATGCATTGACCCATCAGGGTCACCATAGAGGGGAGGGGGACCATGGAGAGCCAGCAGTTTACTTCTTACATAGGTGAGAAAACTGGTTACTTTTTCGAAAGGGTGCACGAGTTCAGCATCAACAGCGGAAGACCTTTGAAAAGATAACATGGTCCCAGGAAAAGGAATTTGATGGTGGAGTGGGCACTTTCTGAATCTTCCTTTTCTTCCTCTTTTCCTGGAAACTAACTGCATCATTGGTTTTAAACAAGAGGTGGCAACAGGTGCTGTCATCGCAGCTGTGTCCCCCAGGCGTGCAGAGTTCTCCTGACCTCAGTTCCACTCGGTCCTCTTTCCAGCCAGTGCTGAGCAGGGGCCCCCTTCTGGTGAGCTGCCTGCCCCAGCCCCTGCACCCTGTCCCTAAAGATCCGCTGCTCCCAGATGGGCTGGGACAGGAGACAATCACCAGCTCACCTTCCGTCTAGCCCAGAGATCCAGGCTGACAGGTTCAACCCGCCTTAGGACCAACAACTCCAAGACGAAGCCAGTGAAAAGCCCCGATTGGCCCCCTCACAGGAGGGACCCCAAGATGCAGTCTGGCCCTACTGACTGCTACCTTACCCGGTGATTCCCTCTCGTCGTCATGTGCCCACCTCTTTGGCTCACCCCACCTGCTAAACAGCCAGGGACTTTAACTTTTCACTGGTGAACTGGAAATCGGATAATAGGATGGGCAAAGGCAGCTCAACCCACAGAATAAACTGTAGCTGGCATTATTTTTCTGTCTCCCACCCCTCTGAGTGTCCTCGGCGTGGTGTGTGTGTGTGTGTGTGTGTGTGTGTGTGTGTGTGTGTGTGTGTCTCCTTGGAGGAGGGTAAGAAAGGAGAGGCTGCAGGATTGATTATGACTTATTAAACTATTGGAACAGAGGCTGAATCATCACAGTCAAAAAATAAACAGCTGCAACTCGATTGGACATAACTCCCACTTCTTGCCTGTTTCCCTTTGCTCCCTCACAGCGGGAAGGAGGAGGCGCTGTGCTTGCAGGGACCAGCAGGTGCCCACTGACCAGTAAAGGAAGGGGCCCGGCTGGGTGGCCACTGCGCCTCTGTGCTTTGGAAAGCTGATACAGTCGGGATGAGTCTGAGCCTCTGCCTGCTCCCTGAACTGAACTTCGGGACCCAAGTGCAGACTCACACACTGCAGAGACGCGTTGGTCACTGCACGGAGAAGGGCTTCCCATCAGGATGCATTTTCTCCCTGGCCTTGTGCCCCATGCCAGGGGCCCAGGGATGACCCACAGTAGACGCAGCTCTGCAAACTTGTCAGACTGACATGGCAGAGGTCCTTAAGTGACTGGGTTACCGGGGTAGCCATGCCAGCTGCCTGGAACAGGCTCCGTTAAACAGAATGGATTCTGTGAAATCTCAGGGTAAGCAGCGCGTGTCCCTCCCACGAACCCTGGGGAAACAGACCGAAGTTGATTGACCCTTCACACACACCCCCCCCACGCAGGTCCCCCTGCCCCATTCCTGTGAGCTGTGCCAGCAGCCACAGAAGGATCCTTCGCTCGGCTCACCCCTGTCCTCCCACAGGACCTGGCAGGCGGAGCGAAGCTGCAGTGACGTAACGGGGTGGGGGGTGGCGTGGGGAAATGTGCCGACGGGCCGGGGCTCCGCAGGGTCAGTCCCGGCGGCGCAGCCCTCCGAGCCCAGAGCCTCCGTCGGCGGACCGGCGCTCAGGGTGTGTCGGCCCCCGCGAGCTCTCCGAGGCGTGAGGCGGGAGCCAGAGCCCGCAGGTCGGGGACACCCAGCGCAGTGTGCCTGCTAAGCTGCTGCGCGCTCGGGCGCCCAGCTGGACTGTGGACAGCCGCTGGGTGCCAGTGAGCTAAGCTAGCGGATTGCAGCAGAAAAGCAAAGGTGAGGTGTGTGAACGTGTGTGTGTCTGTGTGTGTGCAAGAGAGAGAGGGAGGGAGGGAGAGCGATGGACTTGGACACCTGAGTGCACTGCGCTGCTCAGTGGCGCGCGCCTCGGTGGCCAGAGTGTAGGTCCCAATGCGCGGTTCCCTTCCCTCGTGTCATTTAGGGGTAATTTGGCACGACTGCGAGTGTCCAGGTGTGAGTGGGGGGCTGCGGATTGTCAGTACCGAAAACGACGTGACCGTACAGCCGCATGCCAGTGAACGCGCCGTGCGCCCTTGTCCAGTCCTCGTCCCCTAGCTGAGTGTCCAGGTGGTAGCTGCGACCGGGACAACTTCTCTCCCAGCCGCCTTTAAACGGGTCCGACAGGAAGAGAGCAAAACGGCGAGGTTGGTGGGGGACACTGCCGGGGCTCCTGCGGGCACTCACCCCGCGCCTGTGCGGGCCAGGGGGCGGAGCAGAAAAAGAGGGGCTTCTCTCCGATCCTCCTCGTCCGGCCTTGGCAGACGCATGGCTAAGGATCTACAGTCTGGTTCTGTGGCGCGCGGGGGCGGAGAGGACAGCCTCGACCCCTCTTTGCGAATAGCAACTGGGGACGCTGGCGTGATAATCTTCAGTCTTCCACTTGGCCTGTAAATGGCAGGGAATCTTTTAGGAAACCTTTGTCTCAGAGGGTCAGCGGGTGGGATGACCTGGCGGATGATTTTCTGTGTCAGCGCCGGGAGCCAGCTGGGCGGTCCGGGGACTCACCCCCCACACTCCCACCCCTACCCCAACCCCACCCCACCTCCCCTCACACACACACACACCCTTTCGCCAGCGAGCGCCGCCTGGGCTTCTCCTAGGCGCTGTAGCACCCTGGCTGCACGCACTTGGCTGTAGTCTCTCCCGCCCGGGAGGCTCATGCTCCCGCCAACCGGAGATTTCCCTTGTGTTTAGCAGCCCCCAGAGGGTGTGCAGTGGGAGCTGAATAGAGAAAAGACATTGGGGAGAAAGGGAAAACTGGAACGCAGCAGAATTTAGGATCACAGCTCCCTCCACCCCCACGCCTGGTCTCCATCCGATGGTCAGTTCTTAGGCTGGTAACCACAGCCTCTCTGCGAAAAGAGGAAGATGCCTGAGACCATTCTAATCCTCCTGTCTAACAGAGCCTGGATTCAGGGTCTGAGGACACCCACAGCCAGCCATTTCCAGTATCTAACAATTCTGAGGCTGGTAAAATGTAAAAGCACAAAAATCAAATTTCCTGTGCATATTTAACCACAATTCAACAAGTGTTGACTGCCCAGCATTTCCCTCTACTTTCATTTTGTTATTAAAGTTATATTTATTTATTTTTAGAGAGAGGGAAAGGGAGGGAGAAAGAGAGAGAAACATCAATGTGTGGTTGCCTCTCATGCACCCCTCTGGGACCTGGCCCAAAACCCAGGCACCTGCCCTGACCGGGAATGGAACCGGTGACTCCCTGGTTTGCAAGCTGGCACTCAATCCATTGAGCCACACCAGCCAGGGCCTGGGCTCTACTTTTAACAAAGCAGCAGGTCTCACTTGGAGATCTTAGGTGGCAACTTTATTGTTGATGAAAGAAGGTTCACTGCAATTTAAACTCATGTCTTCCTTGGAGGAGCCCTACCACTCCGGACTGGCTCCCCGGATCACTCTCTCCGCCCCCTTCACTGAGCTCCAGACCTTGTCCACCACTCCCCTCTCAAAAGTGGAGAAATGCTACTTCTCCGCCCATTTCAGGAAAAAAGTTACCCCACACAGAGTAAGACTCCAGCCACAAAGGCAGAGCTAGGGCTGGAGATCAGCGCTCAACCCTCACTCACATGTCCACACCACCAGCACCCCAACCCCCAAGAGCACTAGACCTAGTGTCTGCCCCCCAGAACTCTTCAGTCTTACTCAGACCTTGGAGTATGACCTTGCACGTTACACAGATGGGATCCTGGAAATGCTAGTAATTAATTACGCTCCAGTGCAGGTGGCTTAAATAGGATTCTGAGTCTGTAGAATCAGAGTAACTGACAAGACTGTTAGAAATGACAGCGGAATAAATCCACGTTAATCTAGGGATATAAAAAGTGGTTTCTTTACAGCTTCTGTTTTTAATAGCGGCCAATTTATGCTTTTTACCCAATGCAGACATTAAATCCCAAGTCCCCCAAAGTACTTTGTGGAAAGGTCAGCCACAAAGCCCAGACCGCCCTTTACAGACAGTTGTGTGGTGAGGAAATTAGCACAGAACAGAGAAGCAATGAGCCTGGGGTGCAAAGTGAAGCAGAGGCCAAGGTGGGCAAGATTCCTTAAGTACTCGCTGCTGGCTAAGTACCCTTTAATTCATCGGCAGTCTCTCGAAGCTTCAAGGGGCAATCAGCAGTCTTCACCTGGGCACCAGGCAAAGTGCCCTGCTCAGGGGAGATGTGTCCACCAAGTGAATTAGTCCCACGTTGTGCTAAACGACACCATCCTTTCACCACCTTCCCTCTTCCTGGAATGACTGCCTTCCCTGCCCTCCTTGCATCATTCTTCCTGCGCTCAAGACCCAGCTTAAGCCTCTGTGCAATCCCCCAGGAGAGAAAGGCATTCTTCGGTCCTTTCTTCATGTCTCAATACAGGTCACACCCTAGAAGAGTTGGCTTTCCTGCCTGTGTCCCCTCCGAAAGTAGCACCTCCTAGAGGTTATCAGCCATGTCTTGTTCATCTCTGGTGTCCAGAATAAGGGAGCCCCCAGTGATGGTTTTTGAATGCCTATAGAAAAATCATTCAGTTATGTGATGAGCGATTGTTTTATACCTTAGGCCAAGCCAATAGTTACAGTTATCTTCTCAGCTTGGAGGTAAGACAGGAATCAGCTGCTTCAGAGCAAAGCCCCATTGTCAGCTGCTAGTTTTCCAGTCCACGGAGCAGCAGAGTATCCTGTCCACTGGGTATCCTGTGTTCAAATCCCAGCTCCACCACTTATGGGGGCAAGTTAGTTAAATACTCAAAGCCTCAGGTTCCTCATCTGTAAAGTAGAGACAATTATCCCCACCTCCTGGGGTGGATGGGAATTCAAGGGGCATAAATGAGGCCACATCCGTGTTTGGAACGCTCCTTTCATGACTATGAGCAAAACGAGAGCCAACACCTGGCTCTTGTTTTCATCCTTCATCAGCAGATCACGAAAACATTCTCTGGGGTGTCAGAAGATAAGCATTCTGGAGTATTACGCTGAGGAACTTTAGGAAAGAGCTCTCCCAGGCATAAGGAGCCCAAGCACAGAGTATTGAAGAAACAAAAATAAAATAAAACACACATTTTAAAAATGAAAGCAAGCCAGATTTTAATTTTTTTTAATATTTAAGACTATAAATTGCTTCATTATGTAGGCAGATTTCAATAAATTACAGATAAAGGAGACAGCAGAGGAAAAATAGGGGGAAGATAACATTTATAGAGCTCTGGTTATGAGCCCAGCACAATGCTGGGCGTTTTCACATATATTTCATCATTGTGCCTTCACAATACCCTCATTTTAACAAATGAGAGTCAGAGAAGTTAAGTGCAGGTCACAAGGGCTCCACAGTGGAACCCTGGTTTGTTTTACCTCTAAAGTCTGGGATTTTTCCACTACTGAGTTTTCAGAATGGAAAACTCCAAAGAAGTCGGCGGGTCAGTGCAGATTTCCTCGTGGGAAAAGGCCGAGAACACCAGTGTCAGTGCCTTCTGAGGTCAGAGACTGGGCTGCCCCAACCTCTGCCTCTTCACAGTTTGGACCAGCCATCTTCTTAGGGATCAAAGTACATTTTTCTTTTTTGGTAGCCACAGTCCTACATGTGCGTCACCAAAGTTAACAAGATAAACTATGATGGCTTAACCCAAACTCTTCTCCAGTATTGGAAAAACAACTCAACCATTCTGCACACTGGTGAGAATGGGCTGGTAGTTTTATGTGGATGTGGAAAGATAACACATCTTTTGGGGGGGTGAAGAGTGTGTCTGAGATGGTAAACCAGAAACTGGCAAAGTTGGTGAGAGCTTAAGTAGCTTCCAACTGATGAGTCAATCTTCCTTTTTTTTTCCCTGCAGATGTCCCATTGGCTCCTTTGCCTCCAGGACCCACTAAGGTGAGAATAAGATCTTTGGCTGGTTGGAACTAGCCTAAGACTGTAAGGCAGCCATGGATATGGCATATGACCTACTCAATGGCACCCAATCACTGTTCTCCTCTCTATTTGACCTCAATGGCTCGGTGGCAGCAGCCAATGGCTCAAACCAGACAGAGCCATACTATGATCTGACCAGCAATGCAGTCCTCACATTCATATATTTTGTGGTCTGCATCATTGGGTTGTGTGGCAACACGCTTGTCATTTATGTCATCCTCCGCTATGCCAAGATGAAGACCATCACCAACATTTACATCCTCAACCTGGCCATCGCAGATGAGCTCTTCATGCTAGGTCTGCCCTTCTTGGCCATGCAGGTGGCTCTGGTCCACTGGCCCTTTGGCAAGGCCATCTGCCGGGTGGTCATGACTGTGGATGGCATCAATCAGTTCACCAGCATTTTCTGCTTGACTGTCATGAGCGTTGACCGATACCTGGCTGTGGTCCACCCCATCAAGTCGGCCAAGTGGAGGAGACCCCGGACAGCCAAGATGATCAACGTGGCTGTGTGGGGAGTTTCTCTGCTGGTCATCTTGCCTATCATGATATACGCAGGGCTTCGGAGCAACCAGTGGGGGAGAAGCAGCTGCACCATCAACTGGCCAGGTGAATCAGGGGCATGGTACACAGGGTTCATTATCTACGCCTTCATCTTGGGGTTCCTGGTGCCCCTCACCATCATTTGTCTTTGCTACCTGTTCATTATCATCAAGGTGAAGTCCTCTGGAATCCGAGTGGGTTCCTCTAAGAGGAAAAAGTCTGAGAAGAAGGTCACCCGGATGGTGTCCATAGTGGTGGCTGTCTTCATTTTCTGCTGGCTCCCTTTCTACATATTCAATGTCTCCTCTGTCTCTGTGGCCATCAGTCCCACTCCAGCCCTTAAAGGCATGTTTGACTTTGTTGTGGTCCTCACCTATGCTAACAGCTGTGCCAACCCCATCCTGTACGCCTTCCTGTCTGATAACTTCAAGAAGAGCTTCCAGAATGTTCTCTGCTTGGTCAAGGTGAGCGGCACTGATGACGGGGAGCGGAGTGACAGTAAGCAGGACAAGTCCCGACTGAATGAGACTACAGAGACCCAGAGAACCCTCCTCAATGGAGACCTCCAGACCAGTATCTGAACTGCCTGAAAAATAAATAAATATAACACCAAGCTCTGCCAATTGGCAATGTACCCCCTACCCCCACCGACTCGCGCCCTCCTGCCCATCACACCTGGCTTCTAGAATAGGGAATTGCTCAGCATGAGTTCAATTCAGGGAAGAGTGTTTGAGTTGGCTTGTCTGAGTGAATGATTTGTATTAAATTGATTAACTCCCCCTTGAAAGTGAACATTTAAATGCAGGCAGACAATTCAAAGTCTGGAAAAGAGGCCATCATGCCTTTGAAATGTTGAAACTCAACAAACATAGAAAACTGTACCTGAGTTTGTGTGTTTAAAACCCAGTATGTAATCTTGTGTTCTTATATTTATACTTGTGTATCCCTGCCTAGTCCCCGTGCAGTCATGATCTACATTTCCTGTGTTCAAATACACAAGTAGCAAATTCAAGTGTGTGTTGTGCAGGTGGACATTTGTTACAATACAGTACCCATGGAAATGGACTCTCATGAAGCCAATAAAGTTTAAGCTTCAGGGATCTCGCTTGCTTGGGCAGTATGTTTACATGGCCATGTGTCTTTATAAGAACTTATAAAAGGAAGATTTTTTTTGTACTCTTTTTCTTAAAGGGGGCTTCTTAAATTGTATAACCCTCCAGTCTCACCAACACTGTATCTGCCCCTGGACATTTGCTTCATTCATTTCAGACAAGCTATATCCAGGTGAGAAGGGGAAGAGAGAAGGTATTTGAGGACCCAGAACATTGTCAAGTTGCTTTAATTTTTCTTAGGGAGCCAAGGAAAAGAGGGGTGGGGTGTGGATCACTAACATGAAAGTCAAGAGACAGACTATAATTCCTATGGGAAAACAATTTTCTCTACTGTAAAAATAAATGAGTAAGAATGAAGCAAAATTACAGCTTTTAAAGAAACCATGGAATTGGAGGGGGGGGGGTTATGCCAGACATGGCTTCCTAATAAAAGAAAGTGGAAATGCAATTCAGTAACTCCTCACAGAAGTTTGTTTGAAGGACTTGATACAAAGCTGGGCACTGGGAAAATCAACAGTGCCTCCTAAGGACCTGGGGGCATTGTTTCCAGCTGGTTGCTGTGCAGCCTTACAGGGTAAGTGGGTGTAAGGGCTGGAGGCAGCCCTATGCTCACAGGGACAGCCACGTCGCCTTCCTCACCCACTGTATACATCTAGCATCTGACCATCAACACCATGGACTCAGCCATTTCTCAAGCACTGTCACAGACAGGCACGTGACACAATCAGTGGCTTTTTTTGTTGTTGTTCCCTGAAACTGTAGATGGGCTCATGTGCAATTGATAAGAAATGGAGTGATCCCCATTTCCAGGGCATGAAGAAGTATACACTCAGGTGTTTGTCAGGACGCAATCCGCTCTGGCTTTGTAGGAAAATCTCCCTCTCAGTGTCTCACATACAGATTGTACCCTATTTAAAGATTTTATTTATATTTTTTTAGAGAGAGGAGAAGGGAGGGAGAAAGAGAGGGAGAGAAACATCGATCGATTGCCTCTTGTACACACCCCAACCAGGGCCCAAACCCACAACCCAGTTGTGCCCTGACCGGGAATTGAACCAGTGACCTTTTGCTTTCGTGGATGATGCCCAACCAACTGAGCCACACAGGTCAAGGTGATAGTACCCTATTTAAAAATGAGCTTCCTCTTCTATGCAAGGGCTGTTTGATGGTGAGGATGACAAAGAACTGCACCTGTGGCTCTCATTGTTAATATGCTGCCTTTATTCCACTGCCTGTATTATTCATGCCACCTCCTTCCCCAAAGTACTGACTGTGGCCTAGAAAAATATGCACAGTAAGGCTTATGATAGATCAATCCATGTGAAAATAAAGAGGTACAACCATAAGATGAGACTATCAGGGAAGTTGCTACACAAAAATCCATTCAGTAAAATCCCATGCCGTTACTCAAGGATAGGCCAGCTCCCAGTTCAGCTCGGGCTTTCCCAGCAGCCACAGGGGAGGGCCGGTGGCTCCTCCTCCTCCTCCTCACTTTTCTTCTTCTTTATAAGAAAAGTAACAAAAGGAAATATAGTGTTCTTTCATCCTTCCATGTCCCTTTCCTGGTGTCTTCTTAGACTTCCCAAGCTATGGCATGAACTCCGCCCAAGTTTCAACTGCATGTCCAGCATTAATGAACTCCCTGTGTTACAGAAACACAAGCCAACACCACTCAACACAGGCCACAGCATTGTGTTACCTCTCATACCTGTCTCCCTCAACCCACTTAGGTCTCATCAGCTGTTAACTACCCGTGCTAATGGAAGGTAAGGAGTGGCTTACACAAGCGATGGGGCACCGGAGAACCAATGGAGGGCATGACTTTTTATTCTTTTTTTTTAATTATTTATTTTTAATTGATTATGCCATTACAGTTGTTCTATTCCCCCCTTCATTCCTCTCCACCCTACCCCCGTCCCCACCATTACCCCCCCTTTTAGTTTATGACCATGTGTCTCAAGTTCTTTAGATTCTATATTTCCCATACTATTCTTGCCCCCCCATCTATTTTCTATCTACTGTCTATACTACTTATTTTCTGTACCTTCGCCCCCCCTTCTTTTTTATTCTGTCCCAGTGCCCAGCACAGCTATCTTCACAATTAAATGTGGAGTGGAGGAAGAAGCTAAGAGTAAATGTTGGGATTAAAATTGTGTTAACGTTTCATTTAAACTATTTATTCCCGCTTTTGTTTCAAAGAAAACAACCCGAGAGCAAGTCACCCTTGAAAGAGATATCTCAGAAAGTGGAGAATTACCTCTTTATATAGTAGAAACCTGATGGATGGAATTAGAGCCTCAGTCTTAAAGGCCCCACCTTTTGGCCTTAGAAATTGTTCAGGCGATGAGTACTCACCATTCGCTGGGTATGCATTTTGCTTGGAAACTTTAGCTGGCTGCTTTGGACCCTGACTTCCTTGGAGGCAGTTTCTCTGATCACGGGGCTATGAACATTACAGAATTAACCTATCTGCCTTGAAATACTTCCTACCCATTATTCTGGGTCCCTTGGAATCCCATCCCTAAGTAAAAATCAGCATGTACTTAAAGACCTTGGAATACCTCATATTATAATAATGGTCAAATTGGATTTAAAGCACTTCCTCTGAAATCTTTGCTTGTTTTTGTGGAGGAGGAGGAGGAGCACGGGGAGGAGGAGGTGGAAGGGTTTGTGTGTATGTGTGTTGTGTGTAGCCATTTCTACAGTCTCACCTTATCACTGCACTTGTCTTCATTCTGGCATGGATTTATGTATGTATCGTAAGTGCTCTGCAGAGAAGAAAATGAGGACTGCTGGATGGCACTTCCAGAGCTGGCAGTGACTGAATACATGTGCCGACTGCTGGAGCTTCCAGCCCCAGCTGCCCTAGACAAGAGCACTGTACTGGAGGAGTGTCCGGTCTAGTCACGGAGAGATAGGAAGTAAATGGTGGTCGAGATACATGCTCCTAGTCAGCTCCAAATGTAACTGTTCAGTCAAGGCAGTCAGGTTACAACGGAGGGTGGAAATGAACCTTGGCCTTGTGACAAAAGATGGCAAGAGAAATGTCAAACTTTCCTGTATGACTGGAAAGGTTCGAACAGGGTTTCTGAAACGTGTATCATCGTAAGAATCACAATAGCTGGCAAGCCAAGCATTTGAGCTTATCAGTAATGACTTGCCATCAGTCACTTGTCTAATCCACATTTTTGCCAGATTCAAAAACACTGAATTTCCTTTCAAATGCTCCATCAGAGGAAACCTTTCCCTAAGTGGTTGTTGGGCTTCTAATAATTCCTGAAAACGTGCCCACAGGCCGAGTTTCTATGTTCCTCTTAGCAGCTGGTCTGGAAAGTAGGCATGAGGGACTGCATTCTACGTAAAGCAGAAAGCTTTTAGAGTCCTGTCACCTGAGTTGGCGGACCGCTGGGGTTGAGAGTAACAGCTCAAGGACGAGCTTTCCCACCTCCACCCACTGCCCCTTTCCAGGGCTGCCCACCCCTTGCTTTAACTCAGCAGTGACCAAATGCAGGCGGATCAGACAGTTTTCTTCTTCAGACATGTCAGGTTGTATGTGTCTGGACTGTGCCTAAAAACAGAGCTAAATATTAACCAAGACTTAACGGAGCTGAACGTAAACCGGAGCTGATTCTCCCGAGATTACAAGTGAGGATAACGTCACTAAATGGAATGCTGTGGCTTTGTCATTAGGTCCAGTGATGGTCTGCCTCCCACTGGACAAAGACTTTAAAGGTGAGACTCAGCTCCAGGTGGGTGGGGAGAGATTTTCCATGGAGAAGGGGAGAGGCTTGATGTTTTTAATCTCTGTCTTCTTTCCTGGCCTTAATAAAGGGCCAGACCAGAGTGAGAAGGCCTCTCTGCCAGGTCAGGAGGGGCTGCTCGCTTCCAACCCTGATCCCATCGACAGGACTGGAGGCAGAAAAGGAAGGTACTTCTTAGAGATGAAGTTGCCCTACCCTTTGAGAAAAGCCTCTTGAGGAGCCTGGTGCAAGGCCCACTTCAAAAGAAATCTGAAATAGCTTCCCACAGTCTGGCCACTCCAGGGATTCAGCACCCAGGGCCTCCCACTGCTCAAGCAGTAGAGAAGGTCTCTGAGTGACAGTCACTGAGGGGAGATAAAGGGGCTGTGCTATGGACTGCTAAGTAAGACAGGTTTGGCCCTGGACCAGGAGACGCAACTGTCCCAGGTGCTTACAAAGAACAGATTATGAAGTGGCCAGTATGGGAGGCCCGAGGGGAAACTGCTCACCTCCGTAGGGGAAGACCCAGGATCAACTCCAAGGAACCACCTGTAAAGTCAGCAGGTACTGACAAAGAGCAGCATTGCCACCCCTGGGCAATGCCCCTCTTACCTGGCAGATGGTACCAGTTCCTGTCAAGGGTTCCCACCCCAGGGGAGAACATACCATCATTACTGAGTAAGTCGGCATTTTTTTCTCATGGGTATTATTTTTTCAAGACTGGTCAGGTGGGTGGCTGACGTGGCTTTCGTGTGTGCCCCTGACCACACACGTGTCAAACTTCTTAGTCCATGTTGCACTCACAGGTATTATTTTTTAATGAGAAACCCAGATGGTTCTCACATAACATAACCCAGGCTTCGTTTTCTTAACATGAACCAGCACTGCATATCTTCAGAGAAATGGGTGGTCCTCTGGGTCACTCCAGTTCTGGACTCTCACTGCAGTTGGTGCTCTCACACACCCGTGCAAGGCAACAGGGCCCCGGTGCGGCACACAAGTGGTGTGCTCTGTGGATGTGACTATACACACGCACCTGTGCGGCACACACGTGACACACCTTATACTCTGAGCAAGGCCTCAAGGCAAATTCCCTAAGAAGGGAGAGGACTATGTCTGGTGAACCTATTTGAAGTCTAGAAACACTGAGTCACTTTTTTCTGGAGAGGGGCAGGGGACATTGTGCAGGAGCTAATTCCTTACCCAGCAGGTCCATGCCAGATCACAGACTCCACGCCTCACCCCAGCCAGCTGTCCCTGCCATAACGGGCCTCCGCAGCTTAATTTTAAAGAAATAGAGTTGGTAAAAGGGTGTGAGCAGTTTACTACAAATCATGCCCACTAGTTAACCAAATTAAAGCACACAGTCTGCTAACAGCAATATGTTTTTGCATAAGAAAAACAATACAATCTTTGCAGAAAAATCACCCGAAATTATTTTCAAGTTGATTCTCATCAAGGGCAGTGTTGTGATGGATGTCTCTTCCCCCGAGCTCCCCAGTACAAATCTGAGGGTGAACACTTTGGGGGAAGTGGAGGTGCTCGGCCACCAAGAAAATGAGCAGTTCTTCCCTCCCTCAGCCACAAGCACACCTCCGACCGCGTCTTCTTCAAGATAAACCAGGTCTGCCCCTTGTCCACCGTCCCACTCCTGTCCGTGGCTGGGTATAGCTACATCAGCTCATCCTGTGCTCTTGGAGTACCTGCTACTACCTAATCTGAAAGAGCATTGTACCTGTTCTTTGACAAGCACAGTCTGACTTTCCAGTTTCATTCTCAAGATTAATTAAAGTTCACTAGTCCCAGCTGTGCTGCTAACCTGGAGGGTAGACACTTCTGGAGCAAAGGCTCCAACTACATGAGGACTCACTGTGTTTGGCTTCAGCTTAATGCTTCCTGGCAGATGACACTGGTCTCCTAAATGTCTCTTCCAAACTCCCAGGTAGGTGGGCGCCGTGCTAGTGGGCACGGCTGTTTCACCCTTCTCCTCTGCACCTTCACGCACCCTTTTTCCCCTCCTGGCTCTCAGGGCCTATCAGTTAGAAGGTGGCAGAATCACATCCTCACCCACAGAGGGCCTACGCTAGGGGCTGTCTCGGCAGCCAAGGAAACCCACTCCTCTTAGATCTTCCACGGAACATTCCTAGTCCAGCTGAGCAGAGTGAGCAGCATGGTTCTGGGCTGTGGAGCCAACGTGGAAATGGGTATTTAGGGGGTTTGGGATTTGGAGGATCCCTGCCCTCAAGACTGATGAAAGAGACCCTAATTGCTAGAGAAGAACCAAAGCAAGGCACTGAAGTGGCAGTCACTTCAGGAGTAGAGGCCGTGGTTGGAGGATAGGGCAAGCCACCCTTGAGCAGCGAGGCTCCCTGTTTTTAATTCCACCCATAGCAGAGTTTGCTCCCTTTCACAAAACCCTCGGTCTGTCTTTCAAAACAGGTTCTCTCGTATTTAGAGTTAATGTTTGAAATTTTAGAGATGCCTTCTCTTTTTGAGAATTCCACAATGCCCATCTTGAAACAACAGGAAGAGACCCAATTTTCATAAAATCAGGTCGGGAACCAGTTTGAAAGGAAACAGCAGCAGAGGCATGTAGTCCTGCGGTGCGCGACCCGGGGCCAGGCCTCACTCTTCTTTGCTGCCTCTCCCTTCTTCGGGTCACTGCGCGTGGCCTGGGACAGGAGTTTAATGTGTAGCTGAGCAGGAGAAAAAGGCTCCCATTTAGAACAGCCAGCGCATAAAGACTGATTTCCATCCATTTGCAAGAGGAAATGAGCCACCCAGCCACACAAAGAAGTGCCACAAGCAGCCGCCCAGCTCACCCAATTTACAGTGAACAAAAGTAACAGGAGACAATTCAACTACCCAGAGTCATTCAAAGCCTCCATCCGAGTTTCCCAGAGCCTGAGAACCATCTCACTAGGACAGGTCAGGGTGCGGAGTGTGTGGAGCTGACTTCTGGAACGTGTTTACAGATAGCTTTAACACGTACAGCGCATTTTCCCTAAAGAATACTTACTCGTTGTTTCATGATCTACCCATCATTCTCGGGCTGTCACTCACGGCTAAGCAACTGCAGGTTTTTGCAAACAGCAGATCAATCATTATCAAAGGAGATTGAAAACTCTCCTCTCTCCTCTCTCCCTCCCTCCCCCCCTCCCTCCCTCCCTCCCTCCCTCCCTCCCTCTCCTTCTCCCTCTCATATGGCATTTCACCCATCCCCCACCCCACCCCTGCCCCTTTCTGAAGGTGGTAGAGATCATGAAATGGAAGCCTCTGGCGTTTCCTTTCCCCTTCCACGCTCTGTGGCCACCAGGAAACCTGGGACATCGAGAAAAAGCCTTCAGCAGCCCCAACTGCAAAAACAGTTTCAATCATGTGATGTGATTGATGGTTTTAATATGTCAAAAATAGGTATGCACATAAGCTTGTTATTTTTATTATCCTTATGGTTTTTCAAATGCAATTACTCTTATTAATGTTATTTCTAAATGTCAGTATTTAGAAGAAAAAGTAGCTGAAACTGCTTTTGCTTTAGAATAAGCTGCAACCACCTTTGTGATGATGCACGTGTCTGTGTTAGGTAAATGAATGTACCTCTATCTTTGCTGCTATAATTGATTGTGTACACTAAGAAACAAAAACAAATATTTCAGTGACTTTTTTGCAAGTGTCCTGTTATATAAACTCAAGAATGAAGTTTGCTCATTAGCCCAGCTACATGAACTCACCTTTGTCCCCGTCCACCTCTGAAAAAGACCCCACGTGTTCGGAAAAATGGACCAGAGTCCAGTACTTTCCAGGTTTCCTAAACCACCAACCTGGAAACTTCAAAATTTTACAATTTGTCTTAAAACTTTAAGCCCTATACGATTTTTTTCTAGATGTCTTAGCAATCACTGGTTTGACAGCAAAAGACAAAAATAACCTTAAAAACTGACCACTACCGGTGAGCTCCATTTTGTCTACAGACTGGTTTTGAGTGGCCCTGTCTGATTTCTTCCCAGTTAAAGCAGCGTGGTGACATTGCTATAAGGCCGATGATGACCCCTGGGCTCTCTGGGTCTGGAGCCAGCAAAACTGGCCAGGGAAAATTGTCATGAGTTTCAAAAGTAGGTCAAAGAAAACAACCCATTATCTTCTTATCTTCCTTTCACTCACAATCCAAATACAACAAAAACATCTAAGATGCTGCTTAAAACAAAGTTTTCACTACAAAATCGACTGGTAAAACCTGGAAAAAAAGTGGGCATGTTTTTTGAGTGCTCATGATGCACTGAGCCCCGTTTGAAGCGCTTTATATATGTGCATCCTCTCATTTCAATTCCCACAGAAGCGCTGTGAAGCAGGTACTGCTGCGCCCCCCATTCTGCGGGTGAGGAAATCGGGGCGGACTGAGTGTACTTGCGTCTCTTGCCCAGGAACACTTTGCCACCAGCACTTCTCCCTGTGGGACGTGGGACCACACCAATGTCTGACAACCCTGAGCCCACACGGCCTTGTCTGCAAAGCAGGTATAACTCCATGTCTCCCACACAACTGTGTAATGGATGAAAGAAAATATTTTCAATAACTGGTCACATTATCAGGTGCATAGAGGCGTCCAGTAAATGCCAGGGCTCCCTCGCCTTTAATCAAAGCAAAAGAAGACTGGAAGCATTTTGGTTGTGCATCAACTGACCATTTTCCAAATTGGCTAGTAAGAAACCCTGGCTTCCAACCCTGCCATTAGTGGAAAGCTTAGCTGGTATATCAAGCCAACCCACATGACAGCAGAAGAAAGCAAGTCCCGTGCAAAACAGCAAATGCATTGTGTGTCTGCCCACTTTTGGTCTACACAGAGCCTTCCAACCCAGGCAGAGGACTGTCTTCCTCGGCTAAGCGTAACTGCACTTCAGTCTCCACCAGAATGGACCAGGACCTAACTTCTCACCTCCCTAAACAGAGCCTCAACCTGCCAAAGCATTCTGGAGACTTAGCATGTTATGAATTGCTGAGTCCTTTGTTCTTCCTCCAGAGTGAGGCCACGGTTGGCCTGGGGCCTGGTGCTAACCAGAGGGGGAGGATCAAGCTGCTAATCCTGGGTCTGTAACCATCTGTATCGCTCTTGGGTCCAGCTGGAAACAGAAGGCACACTCAAAGCGGTTTAACAGACGTGAATGTAATGAAGGCACTATGGACAGAGCGGTGGGGAGGCATAAGGGAATACCAGGAGAGAGATGAGGGGCCTGGGGGCTAGGTAAAGGCGGGGCCAGGGAGGGGATGATGTTGTAGGAGCCCAGTGAGAGCCAAAGCCATGAGGAAGGTGACACTTCACAGGAGATGTGGCCATCGAGTCATCCAACCAGTCAGGGCCAGAATCAGAGTGGATACCTTTGAACTCCCCCCATGGCTGACCTCAACCAGAACCATAGAGCAAGACAGCCACATGAGGCAGTCCATAGAGGTCAGCCTCTGGAGAGGGCTACAGAATGGATGGGGTGGTGGGAGGGGGCAGGTGGACAACCACCAGCACCCGGGTGCATGGGATACCCCCCATCTCGGGGCCTCAGCCCTCTGAGCTGCCCATGGTCTACTGGAATAGCCGGAGTTCATTCAAACTTCCACCCAGCTCAAGGCACAATGTAAGGGTCCCTGGGGCCTTCCAACAATAGAAGCATTCTCTAAATCCTAAGAGGATAAACTGGACTTCAGAAAATAACTACTGGACAGCTTGGGAGCTGCAAAAGAAATGAAGGGCCAGAGTTCCACCCAGTCACATAGTGTTCTGGGTGGTCAACACCCAAAGATCCTGCTCTGTTTTGGGCACTCACAACGCAGGACACAACTTAATCCTCTCATTCTCTCTCTACCTCTCTCTCTCTCTCTCTGTTTCTCTTTCCCTGCGAGATATAAATTCATCTGTACATTCAAAGGTCAAGGAGTATACTCTTCCACCACCCCAACCAATACCAAAGGCATATCAAGAAACCAACCTGGCTATTCAATACATTTTAGTCAATTGATTGAATTTGCTCTCAAACTGTATTTGCAAATACCCAAACTAGAAATTTTCACATAATGTAAAGATTCAGAATATTTTATCACCCGTCCTAGGCCAAGCAAGGTTGATGTTTCTCATTCACCTGGTAGAACTTAAACAAAACACAACAAAAACAAACAAATATCACAACCCAGTAGCTCTTAGGGCCACAGGGCAGGATGGACAGGGAACGTCTACTAAGAACAGACCAGGGCTAAGGCTTGAGCCTGGGCCCATGCAACGGTGAGAGGTCAAGGAAAGGAAAAACAAGTAAATGTAACAGAGAAGATGAGCCTAGTGAGGTGAGAGAAAGTGCAATGTGTCACAGGAGTCCAGAGAAACAGGGTCAGCGGGGGATAGGTCAGTGATTCTGACACAGCTGAAAAGTCCAGAAACTGAGAAGTCACTACTGAAACTGGCAACACGCAGAGGGAGGCCTTTCAATGGACAGAGTGGTGGCGCAAGAAGCCCTAACGGACGGAGTTGAGGAAGACAATGGGAGGTGACTTGTGGAGACAGCAAAAGGTCACGACATTTCATTGTGATGAGGAAAGGAGACATGGGCAGGGGCTGGAAGGAAGCATGTGGACCAAGGAGCATTTTTACACTAGAAAGTATTAATAATGGGAATGATGCAGCTAAGGGAGAAAATGATGTAGGAGAAGGAAAGAAGGTCATTGAGAGGTGAGAGGGGTGAGATCCAGAGGTCAAGTGGAGAGGTTACGGGACCAGGAACACTGTGTTCTTGCAATAAGAGAGAAGGCAGCAGGCGTGAGCCTATGTTCGGGCAAGTTGATATATACAGCAGATCTGAAATGAGAACATTCCTGCCTGATTACTTCTGTTTTCTACATTTACATGAGAAAGGCTCATCGGCTAGGATAGAAGGGCAGAGAAGGTAAAAGACAACGGAGGAGACTTAAAAGAAGTGAGCACTGGGCACAGAATCATTGACTTTTAATGAAATATCTTTTGTATCCTCCCTAGCATCCAGCTAGTTCACACAGTAAGGACTCAGTTACACACTAGTCAAGGACATGAAGCTTGGAGCGTGAGCTTTGCCATCACTTTTTCAGTCAAGATGTTGAGAAGGTGTGGAGCCCAGACGTCCAGGAGCCCTAGTCAAGGACATGAAGCATGAGCTTTGCCATCACATTTTCAGTCAAGATGTTGAGAAGGTGTGGAGCCCAGACGTCCAGGTCCCCTTCAACAGCTCTGACGCCAGCCTGGCTATTTGTTGAGGGCAGAAGCTCAGGTATCTGCAAACAGTTAAGTCAAATAACCACCCCTTCTACTACAAATGTCACCTCCAGTGGACACAGGCTGATAAACATTGCCATAAAGATAAGATGTCAAGACGACTGCATTAGCTCTCTTTATCTCATTGGCATCTCAGCCAAGAGCAAACACCAAATGTCTGAATCCCACCGGCAGCGATGAGTTCAGCCTTCCGTGGGGCCCCTGACACTCCTTTGTTGACACAGCCTGTCCTTCACCAGGTCAGATGTCCCTTTCTTTACTTTCTGGTCATTTGCTGACTGATTCCTCTTCTTGTTTTCTCCCTTTCCATTTCTTCTAGCTTAGCAGAGCTCGACTTCTCATTTTCGTGTTCCTGGATAATTGTGCCTTTCCATGGGTTATCTCTTCTCCCATGCTCCCGGTCCCCACGCCATCCTCACTCCGTGAGAACACAGCCCTCCCTCCAGCATCGTCATCACTTTCCACATCAGTGACGTACCTAAAACGCCACAGCCTTCCATGAAACCAGGCACTGAAAATGAGTGTGGAGTGACCAAGAACCTTCTTACTGTGTTTAGTATTTCAGTTCCCAGGCAACTGATGGCAAAGGACCCTTTTGCCTTTACTGGCGCATCCTTTCAGCAGCTGCATGCATGTCAGCATTCACCCACTTGGCAAATATTTATGAAATCATTCAGTCTGGGAACCAAGGCCCAGGGGGCCCACACATCACATACAGGTAGAGCACGTGTGGTAGCTGCAAAAACCCATGGAAAACCCTTCTATTTTAGGTACTATGCTGGCTTGGCTCTATATTCCTATTAAAAAGTAAGAAGCCTGTCCCCTCAATGTTCAGAATGAAATGAGAGTTCTAATGGGCCTAGAGGAAGTACAAATGTCAGAATATGTCCCCACTTTTGAAAGACAGCCCTCCAATGTGCAGACACTCAAGCCACCAGGCATGGCCACCCTATGGACCATCTGCCCCCAGGCCAGCGAACTGCCCTACCTTGAGTCCCCAAAATGCAATGCAGTTGCAGAGAACCCCCTTTAAGCAAAGGGTAGAAAGCAGTGTGGGTCGCATCGGAACATTGCTCAGAATTGTTGCCCCATCTGTCTCTTGATGTTCCAAAGTTTTCCTCGAAGCCAGTAAGGTGACAAGGTAGAAGGATCAAGGATGTTGAGAGTCAGACTCACTGGGGTCAGAAGACAGGCTCAGCCATCGACCATCTCAGACAGGTTGCTTGTTCCTGCTGAACCTTGTTTTACCACTCAAGTGGATATCAGGCCACCTATGCTGCGAGATTATTATGCTGCAGCATAATAAAAGATTATTGCAGAGAGTTAAAGATAATATATGCAAAGTGTCTAGGTATTGCTCAAACTTACAGCAATTATAATGGCAAAATGCCTAGGTTTGATTTCAGAGACCTAGGATGATCTAAATATAATCTCCTGGACTTAAACATTGGATGTTTAAAAGTCTACCCTTAAAGATTTAAGATGAAAAGAAAGACTTGACCTCAAGAATCACCACACTACACACACACACACTTATCCCTACACCAAAACAAGGTCACAGCTATAAAACTAGGAGGGGCCATTTACTCACAGGCCACCCTGAGGAAAGACCTTAGTTCTTATCTCTGCCCCTCTGTCCCCAGTCCAGCACTCAGTCCAGTTGCTGAAGCTGAGCTCTTTGCCCAGACCTAGTTTTCAGAGGGCGAGAAAGCAGAAGGCTGAAGAGGAAGGGGCTACTGACCCTGTGTAGGGAGAATTAGAAAGGAGACAGGAGAATAGAGTCAAAGACACATTTCCTCCAGCTCCAGAGCTCGTCCAGTGCCCAGGCAGGAAGGTTTGGTAACAGCCTATTAGGCGCTGGGTTCTGCAGGCAGAAGAGCAACAGTGGCACCTACAGGGCAGCCAGGTGAACTTGGCCGGGGAAGAAGAGAGGAAGGTTAGGGAAACTACCACCTTCAGAACATGCCCCACAGGGCAGACATTAGCTGCCGAGTCTGCCTCTTCTCTACACACCTGTAATGATGGGCATGTGCACAAGTGCAAGCCACCTTAAACACACCTGTAGGTCCCCACACCCTAACCCATGTGTTGACATTCCTGCCTCTGGCTGTTAGAGAGACATCAGGCAAACTCATAGAGCTGGAAACGCAGGGAGTGTGTATCAGTTTAAAGTCTCTAGGGCAAGCAACCAACCCAATTTTTCAAAGAAATGAAATTTGTCAGTAAGGTATTGGAGAGCTCATAGAATCTCTGGGAAAGCTAGGGAATCGGGTTCAGAGGAGAGACAGGAACACAAGGGAGCTAAACCCATTCAGAACCCGGGCCAAGAAGGTGACCGGGCAGTTCTGGTGAAGGTATCATTGTGGTCACACCTAGCTGCCCCCCAGCCCTGGCAGCTGGGGCCTGCAGCTACATTCAATTTCCTGCTGCCTCAGAGAGTGGATGCTACAGGTATATCTACCACCCATGAAATCTCCACTGTCCCTGCTTCTTGACATCCCTAGCTCTCCATTTAAAGTCCTAGGTGGTTCTGTCTGATTGGCTGATAACAGAGTAGCTCCAAGGGGAAAAGATCTTGCCATACAGAGGCGACTTCCCCAGAGTAGAAAAGATTCTGCAGATGCTGGGGAGCCAAAAATAGACAATGGTCCCCTACCAAATAGGACAGCAGTGATAGGAAATTGCAGACCTGCCACCAGGGAGCATTTGTTGAGTTTGTGCTAAGTTGTGAAGCAGAGTAGAAAAGAGTCAGGAATTCAAAATTCTAGGTCCAAGTGCTGATTCTGTCACTCATTAGCTAAGTGACTTGGCAGTTATAAATAAGCTTTCTGGGTTTTTGTCATGCATAGAATAATTATCCCTACCTGCCTTACAGGGCTGATGTGTAGATCAGGTCATTTTGTAAACATGCTTTGAAAATTATACTATTAGTGAGTAAATCACTTGTCTCTCAGGACCCCAGGCTATCCATTTGTAAAATGAGAATATTCCCTGTATTTCAGGGTTATTGTGAGCTAACCGAGAATATTATAAATGGCTTGTATACAATCTGAAATTCTTTGATGTCTGGGATTTGCGTCAAAACTATGGAGGTGGTGGGTGGCAAAGGAAGTGGGCAGCAACATAAATAAGACTGAGCAGTAATAATACTTAGTGGGTACATTATACCATTCTCTCTACATTAGTATAAAAACTTCAATCAATTTTTTTTTGTTAAATAAAGTGTCTTGAAAAGACCTAGAAGAAACAGGCCACTCTATCCAAGTTTTACTATTGAGTCCGGGTAGGGCATCACCCCAACCCTCACCACCCTCACCCCAAAGGCGTCGTTTTCTTAGGATTGCAGTCCTTCCTCTCTCCTCCCGGGACTGGCGCCAATGCAACCTGTATCAGGGAAAACATCTTCACTGTCAAACCACTGGTTTGAAATTCAAAAGAAAATCCCTGAGAACTAACCCAGACTACTAATCAATCGGAGAAAAGCATGCGAAACGAACGCGCTCACATCCCTTACGGAGCACACCTCCCCCAGCGCTCCGTTCCGGTTCTGAACAACTGTGAAACTACTCTTTCCAATGATCAAAAATAGACCCAAACTTCTCGTTTCCTGGCTAAGGGCCACTAAAAATAAAGACTAACAAAGACGCCACCGAAGGCTGCATGCCACGACTGGCCGGCAGGTAGCGCAGGTAGCGCGCATTCGACTTGTAACCCAGCTGCAGTGCAGCATCAGCGCTGCAGAATTCCGAGGGTAAAGGGACCTACCGAGAGTGTCATCCCCTGGTAGCAGGGGTAAGACCACTGTCCGGGGTCCTGACTGGCCCAGGAAGGGCCAGGAGCATCCATCCTGAGGCGTCTTTACAATCAGCCGGCGGGAGCTTAATTACGATCATTAATTCCCACAAGGAAAGGCTCTGCCTGAGCGCAGAAGAGCTTCAGGTGCCCGTGAGGCTGGCCCCGCAGACTGCCAGCCTTAACAGTCTAATTTAACCACATGGTCTCTTTTTTTTAAATGCCGCGCCAGGGGTCAGTCAGCTGTCCGTCGGTCTCAGGGAGCAAGCCTGGCTGCAGCGGGGCAGAACTACTTCCGCCCCTAACCAAGATGGCATCCCGTCGGTGGGGCCGCAGGACGGAAGTGACCCGACGGGCTGACGGGCCACCATGGCGGCCACCGCCTCCTCCTCCGCGCTGAAGCGCCTGGATCTGCGCGACCCCGCGGCGCTTTTCGAGACACACGGAACAGAAGAGATCCGAGGGCTGGAGCGCCAGGTTCGGGCCGAGATTGAGCACAAGAAAGAGGAGCTGCGGCAGATGGTAGGCGAGCGGTACCGCGATCTGATCGAGGCGGCCGACACCATTGGCCAGATGCGCCGCTGCGCGGAGGGGCTGGTGGAAGCCGTGCAGGCCACCGACCAGTACTGCGCCCGTCTCCGCCAAGCGGGCTCGGCTACGACCCGGCCGCCGCGAGACCCGCAGGTCAGTCCGGAACCCCGGAGCCCCGCCCCACAACCCTGCCGTTCCCGCAGGTTCTTCCCGCCCCCACCGCTTCCTCACCTGCATTTGGGAGGAAACTGCCGCTACTCTAGGAGTTCCTTTGCCTAGGGGACGCGGCCGGAGGTCCTTCACCTGGCTGCTGATCGTCCCCCCAAATCATTCGACCCTTTCTTCAGGAGCCTTCCCTGACTTCCGGGCCTTGATTCCCTCACCTCACTCGTGGGTTCCCTGGGCTCTCTCGTCCGACGTTAGAGGAAAACGCCAGGGGTCTCCCTCGCCTGACAGCTCCGTTCATTGCCTATATGACATTTCCTGGCGTTATTCTGAGAACAGATTTCTCCTTTATGTTGATACCGTGTCCCCCAGCCCCCCAGTCTTTCATTCCTCATTCCAGTCTTCTTCCACCTCCACCCCATTTCCAAGAATAACGTCCAGAACGCCAAATAGCTATTATACTCGTTGTTGGGGGATCGTACCAGCATCAAGCTATCGCCTTTTAAAAATATATTATTTATTTATTTACCTTTAGAGAGAGAGGAAGGGAGGGAGAAAGAGAGGGAGAGAAACGATGTGTGAGAGAGTCAGCCATCGGCTGCCTCTCACATACCCCCCCCAATGAAGACCTGGCCGGCAACCCAGACCTGTGCTGTGACTGGGAATCCAACTGGCGACCTTTCAATTCGCAAGCCGAGCTCAGTCCACTGAGCCACACCATCACCTTTTGATAGCAGAACATTTTCACTTTAGAGAACTAAGACTATTCAAATCATGTTGTCCCAAGTGTTCTGCTCCCCCACAGCATTTCGTGTTCCTAAAGAGCATTGACTTGGGGACAACGACATAGTGAAAGGGCTTGGAGGGCAAGAAAGGTAAACAAGGAATTTGTTATTAGCATCTTGGGAGATCAACCTTACAGCCTCATGCAAAGAGAAATTGCAAAAGTACAATTTAGCCTGGTTTTGGATGTTTTTAATATAGCCTGGGTTTTAGAGAAACTCAGGTCAGTAGGCTGGGCTCACACAGTAGAACCATAGAATGCTAGAAATTGCTACTTTTTCAAACAAGCAACCTCGTACCTATGTAAGCCATGCATGCGGTACATGTTGCCCTTACATGGCCAGCCTTTGCCATAACTGAGTCATGCTCCAAGGTTTATTCTTCAAGGTACAAAGACACAGAAGGTTCCAGTCCCTGCTCTGCCAGAGCTTACAATCTAGTTGGGGGATTAAATCCATGGAAAGCTGATAGGAGAAATGTAAATAATTTACAAGAGCAATAGAAAACATTTTAGGATAATGATGGTTGGTTCCCAAAATAATTGTGCACATTCACCATAAGATTTCTGAAGGAAGTCGCTTCAGACTTGGGTCCTCAGCAAAGAGGGGCCTTAAGGACAGATGAAACTTGGAATGTTGGTCTGAAGTGTGTAAAGACAATTAAAAACTGGTAATCAATTTGATTAAAGCAGAGTTTCTCCACTTTGGTGCTATTGATACTTGGGGCTGGGCCATTCTTTGAGGTAGCAGCTGTCCTGTGCGTTGCAGGGTGTTTAAAAACATCCCTGGCCTCATCCACTAGGTGCCTGTAGCACCCTCCCCACTCCCCCAGTGTGATAATCAAAAATGTCTCCACATACTGCCAGATGTTCCATGGGAGATGAAATCACCCCTCTCCCCCACACATGGAAACCTGGAAGAAAGGAATGGAGGACAGGAACCCCCTGACCACTGGGCTGAGCTGATTGATACTAAGCAGTGAGGAGCCTCTTAGAACCAAGCAAAGATAATATCTAAGTGGCCTTTGAAGAAAGTAAACTTGACAGCAAAGAAAAGGATAAATGGGAGGGTAGTGAATGACCACAGCACAAGTGAAATGTTTTTGGGTGACTCTTAAGTGTGAGATGATGATGACCTGCATTAGAAACATGGAAGGGGTAACAGAACTTTAAATAGTGGAGATATCAAGAGAACCCATCAGAAGGACAGAAGTTTCCTGGGAATTTAGCAGCAGAGTGGTGGTATGTGCTAGGGTAGATACGGAGGAGATGGCTAAGATTTTTGTTAAGGAGATGAACTTAGTTTTGAGGATACAGATTTGGAATGACAGTGAAACTTACCAGGCAGCGGTAGAAAAGGCTGGGCTGGGATTCAGGGGAGTGGTGAGGACTGAGAATAAAGATGTGGCAGTAGTGGTCTGCTTAGTGGTGATGCTTAAGACTCCTGAAGTGACAAGACAGACGGACTGAGAAGAGTGGAGGACTGAACCAGGTGAACATTTGGTGGAAAGCTGGTGAAAAGGGACAGCCAGCAAGGAGGTCCGTGATGCACTTGAAGAAGAGGGAGAAAATGTGGGAAGGCTGAACATCAGAAAAGGGAAGGAGAAAGCTCACACGAGGGGTTCCACAGGGTTCCGTAGGGTTTCATGCTATTGAGGCATCACAGGACCACTGATAACCAGACTGTGAGATGACTGGATTGAGTCTGCCTCTCTGTGAGACTGAGCCAAGGTGCACCAATAGGTAGGAAAAGCCAGCGGGATTGTAGGACACTCCTGACTCCAGCCATTCTACAGCACCACACTTGGATGCCCAGCTGAATGGCACTACTAAAAGCTTTGAACCCTAACATGTCCCCACCCTTCTCCCCATGCCTGCCAAACACTGACCTTGCTTGTGTTTTTTTCTTCTGATTTGTGTGCCTTTGCCTGTAGCCACAGCCATCCCAGCAGAAGTTCTACAGCATGGCTGCCCAGATCAAACTCCTCTTAGAAATTCCTGAGAAGATCTGGAGCGCGATGGAGGCCTCTCAGTATCTCCACGCCACACAGCTCTACCTGCTCTGCTGCCACCTGCACAGCCTGCTCCAGTTGGATTCTTCTGGCTCCCGATACAGCCCCGTCCTCTCCCGATTCCCCATACTCATCCGGCAGGTGGCAGCAGCCAGCCACTTCCGGTAAGTGGGTCCTGCGTAGAGATCTCTGGTGAGGGGCACGCTTCACCGCTGTAGTTTTTTATGGAGGATGTCTTCTGTCCTGATGGACCATGGATCTTCTCCCAAGATATAAAAAAATTCCCTGGTGACCTTTGTCATTGTTCTAGGTCAACCATTCTGCATGAAAGCAAGATGCTGCTCAAATGCCAGGCCGTGTCGGACCAAGCTGTAGCTGAGGCCCTGTGCTCTATAATGCTCTTAGAAGAGAGTTCTCCTCGCCAAGCCCTGACGGACTTCCTGCTGGCCAGAAAGGCGGCTATTCAGAAACTTCTCAACCAGCCGCACCATGGTGGGTGTGGCTTCTTTCCAATATTTGGTCCAGAAACATGGGAATGGAGGAGGCTGAGCTGAGGGAGACTGAAGCATCCAGTTTTGTTTTTAACTTGACTGAAGAAAATTGTGTAAAAGGCTGGCTTCTTCTCATAGGTGCTGGCATCAAGGCTCAGATTTGCTCGATAGTGGAGTTGCTGGTCACCACTTTGAACCAAGCTCATGCTCTTTTCTACACTTTACCAGAAGGTCAGCTGCCAGATCCCTCCCTGCCATGTGGCTTGCTCTTCTCAACTCTAGAGACCTTCACAGGCCAGCATCCTACCGGTAAGCTCCTAGCCAGCCTTATTTTCTGGTTCATTCAGCTGATTTTTATTGAGCATCTACCATCTGCCGGCTACTATGCTAGGCTCTGGGGATACAGTAGTGAACTGGACAAATATGGACTGCACCTTCATAGAAGTTACAGTCTCATGGTAGTGGCAGACCTTGAACTCAAATATACACATACCTGTTTAACATCAACGTTGGCCATTACCCTAAAGGTGAAGTACAGCTTGGCTTTGGAGTGTTGAATGGAAGGACCTCACCAATGTTATGTTCACTGAAGAAATGGTATTTAAACTGAAACCTAACAGTTGAGTAAGACTTGGGTGAAGAAGGCAAGGAAGAGAGTTCCAGGCAAATAGGAAGAGAATGTGCAAAGGCTCGGAGGCACAGAGGACATTAGTATATTTGAGGAACTGAAAGAGAGCCGGTTGGTTTAAAGAGTGTTGGGTGATGCCAGGAAGAACAGCATGAAAAGAGATGTGGCCAGACTATCAGATGTGACCGGGTAACACAGAGCTATGTGGGCCATGCTAGAGAGCTTGGATTTTATCCAGAGAACAATGGAGAGCCTTCTAGGACCTTCCGGTCTTGGTGGTCCTTCCATTATACGTACCCATGCATCTTGTACTTTTATGTGGTAGGATTTCTCCCAGGTGGAATTAAATGCAGTTGGCTTTTATGTGGCAGTGGATCCCCATGGGGCTGGAGTGGATGCTGAGAGCTTAGTTAGAGGCAGGCTGTCATTGCGACCCAGGTGACAGATGATGGGGAAGTAGAGAATGTAGCTAATTGGATAGCTCATACATCTGTTTATGAGATGACTTGGTGATGGATTGACCGTGCAGGGGTGGAAGGGAGGTGTCAGATGATAAGTTCACTCTTGAAAGTACTGCATTGGGGACAATTGACACCTTGAAATGGGAATGTGAGTGGGCAGGCGATTGTGGGTCCAGAACAGAGCTGGACCTCTGGCCAGAGATACACATCAGTGGCACTCTGCATATGGCTGTTATTTAAAGCCACAGGGATAGGTGACATCATCAGTAAGAAAAGAGGATGACAGAGGACTGTGTCTCAGGAAACTCTAGAACTCATAAGTCAGGTGGAGGAGACAGCCGAAGATAGAAGAGAAACAAGTGGAATGTGGTGACAGCCATATGGTTATTCTCAGAGATGTGTATTATATATAGTCTCACTCCCGGCTTACTTTACCTTTCAACAAGGGTACCATTTCCTTAGGCCTTGGTCTCCCTCCAGGTACTTACACTTAGTACATTTTCCCTCCTCTGAAAGGTGATGATTGGTTACTTCATCATATGTGGCATTGGCAGACAAGGGCAAGGGACTTCAGAAGGACCCATTCAAACTCCAGAAAGTGCTCACACACAGAATACCATGACTGGGCCTCCCAGAGTCACACAGCATGGCTTGTGCCCTTCTGGAGAGGTCACCTCTGAAGAGCTGCAACAACTCACTTACTGAGCAGGATGGGTGGTCATCGAGTCTTCCCGTAGATCTTCAGGGGAGGTAGGAAGACAGTGAGGAGAGGGAAATATCACCTGTTTTTTGACAACCTAAGTTCTAC